GTCTGAAGCGTGTTTTCACCTTGAGATGAATTCTCCACGAGCCTGCTTTGTTTCTAGTGGTGACGGCACATGGGCGTATCACACTCACAACCAACAGCCCTCACAGCCAGAACAGCTGGTGGTACTGCAAAACGAGTATCAAGCGCTCCGGCAAAACTTCTTGAAGCAGCAGGAAGGAACACTGCAGGCTAAGAACACTGCAGTGTGTGGGAAAGAACCACACGTGCTCTTTCCGCTGGTGTAGATTCACACTTCCATTTCAACTGCTCCTACTACTGTAGCATGAACTGCTTTCCTGGTTCAGCTATGGGCTTGCTAGTCTAGACACCACGTAAATCCCACGAGCAGTATCTGTGAAGTGACAGATTTCTGACAGCACCACACTATGGACCATATTTTAACAGAAAGAAGGAAGCTTTCATGCAGTTACAAGCAGCGACATTAAAAGGAGGCAAAACCACACTCGTTTTCTTCCCATAGACACAAGTTACAGACTCAGAACTTACCAAGCAACATGCTTCCTAAAACTGCCAAGTATATGGCTGTAACTAAGCTTCTGTCAGTCACACCTGGCTCAAAGCTACGTACAGTAACTGTACAAAACAAGGGTTGCGGAATCACAAGATTATATTTGCACTGGTTTTTTGTCTCCTCTCCCCAGTTTATAATCTGAATTTCTATTCAAGAAGATAGATTTGAGGAGACAAAGTGAAGAACAGAACAGCAAAGGAGACTCCTGCAAGTGTCCTTACAAAACATGTGGCAAACTCCAGGACTTCTCCAGCTTGTACAGTTTGCTACTGAAGAAGCTGCAAAGGATCACAGGTTTGCAAGGTACTCACTGAATCTCTTGCTGCTGTCCCAGCCAGTCATTACCTTTAACAAACTGAACATGTAACTTAAGTTTTGAAGTGAGCATAGTTCTCCCCAGCAACCACTCAAAACAAAGGTCACTTGTTCCAGATAGTAACTGTCCCAAGCCTAAGAAATCTGCAAACTTCCAGCCAAACACACTTGTGTGTGCATGGTCCTTTAGCTGAAGCAGGTTTTCCTTTTCCAAGGCATCTGCCCTACTCTCTCTGCAGAAAGAACAACTGTATCTTCGCTTGACCTTCATCTTCTCGGGTCAAAAAAAAAGCTGTTTGCAGTGTCTTATCACAAACCACTCGCCATTCCCACGCTCTAAGTACACCCACTCTGTACCTCTCCCAACCCAAATTACTTTTGAACACAGATGAACGGGCTGTTCACACAAACATCATGTCAATATGTGTACCTGAAAAGATGACTGGAATGGCCTCATTTCAAGGAGTTCCTTCTGGACTCTAGCTTTCAGTCCGGGGTACATTGTATTTCCACCAGTGAGAAAAACATTCTGGACAAGAATGGCTTGTTGTTCCTTTGGATACCTACGAGGAATAAAACCCAACTCCAGTCTTTCTCAAGGACATCTCTCCTGTGAACTGAACAGCTATGAGGAAATACTGATACCTTGTCTTCAGGATTCATTTGAGAAACTTCCTTCACTTTCCTAACATGAAAACCTGGGTTCACTGTTCTCTGGAAATTCAGGGGGTGGCAGAAGGAAATCTTTAAAGCACTCTGTGCACTGCACCCCATAAACCAACAACTCAGTGGAGCTGGAATTCTTACATTTCAGAAAATGCATCTCAGTTCATACAGATCAGGGGTGACATTTTGGTAATGCTAAGCTGTCTGGAAATAGCTGTCCAGCAAGCGTGCCTACATCTGAACTTGAAAATGTCAGCCCTGATTTTGGTCTTGCAAAAACAGAGCCTGCCAGCTCATTGTTTCACGGGATGGACATTTCCAAGGGTTTGTTGTTTCCCTCCACAACAAGTTGGACCAGTGGTCTCCAAAGCGGGGTGTGTGCAAGACAATCCATTGGGGTGCAGGAAGAAGATCTTTTTTGTACCATTAAAAAATAAAGAAAATTAAATAGTGCTTATGTCACCTTCATCTCATCCTTCCTAATTTCTATTTTTGCATACATTTTAAAACGCACATAACATATTAGTGCAGTAGTACCTGTGTGTAATTTATAAATACAGGTGCATGCTCAAAAATTTTTTACTGATGGGGTAATCAAATCAAAAAATTTGGAGACCACTGACTGAAGACAAGCAGAGTTACATGTGGTTTTCAGAACAGTAAGACATGTCTAACCTGCAACGCTCAACCCCACCAAAAAGAACTATTCAAATGTATTTTCTTAACTTACACAAGCAGAGTTACATGTGGTTTTCAGAACAGCAAGACATGTCTAACCTGCAATGCTCAACCCCACCAAAAAGAACTATTCAAATATATTTTCTTAACTTATTGTTAAGTAACCAGTATTGCAAAAGCTGATATCAAAACAAGACTAGCTTGTTTGAAGTAAGTGCCAAGCAGCTTTGTAAACTCACCTCTCAAGGACATATTGCATGGTTTCTGCTATACCAGCCTGGTCTTCTCCTATCAGGGAGGGCTGGAAGACAATCTCTGGAGCCCGGATTCTTTCAGTGCCAAGGAAAAGCTGGTGGTACTCTGCCAGGTTAAACACGGGCTTTAAAAAGATTAGATTGAAAAGTAGTGGGAAATTATGTTAAAGAACAGTAATATTCTAGAATAAGCAAAGTTTCTGAACAATTCTGTACCAAAAGCTGATTGTAACGCTCTCGCAGAGAAAGGGCCATGCTGTAAAAGGTTCCAAAAGGCCAAGGAAGCCGGACTTTTCTATACTTTATTCTGTTTGGTGCCACTCAACCCTAAGGCTCAACCTCACAAGCTGAAAGCTGTGTCCACTGGGATGGGATATTAGGCTATGGATTACACACACAAAAAACCAACCTGAGCAAGACTTTTCCCTAATAACGCGGCCCTGCTACAACAGGCATCGCCTGCAGAGTGGGCCAAGTGGGTATATTCCTGTTCTAAACCATCAGCTAAGATTGCAAGGACTTCTCCTCTCTTACTGCCCTGTTCAGATAGTTTAAGCACCTCTCCCAAGAGCAGGCAAACAATGTTTGCACTTGGAGAAATGTTAGCAGACCAGCTGGACAACTGGGAGGCAACGGCCTCTGGCACGAAGTGTAGATATAGAAATCAAACCTGCACTGCAGCAACAGGCTTCTCAACTTCAGGCTGTTCCTCAGCAAACAAAGGTTCAAACTCATTAATGCTTTCCACATCCTCCAGTGACTGTTCACTGCCTAATGGATCCAAATCGGGGGTCTGGAAACAGAGAGGGCATATTATGGTAGGTGAGCTCAGGTGTGAAGGCACGTACATGACTTCAATTCCGGTAAGACATTTGGAAAATTCGGTGCCGATTTCCCCAAATCCCAACTTTTTAACATGCCTGAAACTAAATATGCTGGCTGCTCTCCAGCACTGAAGACAAAAATCAAAGTGGTGAACAACCCAGAAAACAGATGTTAAGACAGACATTCACTCAAAGCATAAAAATCTTTCAATAAATTTATCATGACGCCAGCTCAGAAATTAAAGGCCTCAGCCAACAGGCTGACTGCCAGGATCCTAGCCAGCCACGTCCTAAACATAACAACACACTAAAGATTATTAAAATAGCTTTTTATATTGGTTAAAACTTGGTGCACTCCCAGCACCTTTGACTGCTCTATAATTACCATTAAACTCCCTGCCTTGCTTGTATGGGACTGGAGAACAAATACTTGCTAGCTACAAAGCCACCACACAATTTTTGACAGTTCCAACCGCCTCGCATTTGCACACAGGACATACCAAAAGCCCTCATATTTTTACACAGATGCGAAGGTGTTCCTGAAGCTCCTTCCTAATGAAAAGCATCACTCAAAATCCTGGAGTACTTCACTGTTGTGAAGTAGAAGCAGCTTTTTACTTATCTCCTTTATTTTTGTGTTACAATGTTCCTGCTGGGATTTTGTTGCTAAAGATTCGGTTTTGTTATTTTAAACTTGAAACATCTGTTGCAGCATCTAGCAAGGATACCAGGATGAGATAAAGCCAGATTGTTTAAAGGTTCTTCAGTATCTAGCTTACATCCACTCAAAACCCAAGCAATTACTCAAGCTGAAGTTTTAAGTAGTGTTCATTGTTATGGCAAACAAACAGTAGTCACCTGAAGTCCTCTCCAACCCTTATGCTTCGTTAAATCCATTTTTTTCTACGTCTTAAAAAGCCCAAACAAACCAGCAACACAGAAAAAAAAACAAAGCTCAGCTGAAGACTTGGCACAGACCCCAGGCCAACATGATTAGCTTTCAGACTCCTTTACGTAGCCACAGAGGGATGGCCTGTCTTCACAAACGGATTCCGTGGTAATTGTAGGTGCTCTCACAAAGCACAGACCAAACAAAAACCAGTGGGGAGTCATTCCGAGGTCTGAGACTACACCTGGTGAAGAGGAGGAGCGTGGGATCCAAGGCAGACATGTCAGAACTGAGGCACAACCACTGAGCAAAATTACAAGAAGTTGATAGTCTTTCAATTATCTTTTCCTAGGACAATTTCTTTCAACAGAAGGCAGAAAGATTCTTTACCACAGTGGTAAGCCCCTCACCTACCTCAGTCTCACTCAAATGCAGTCACTCTGACTCTTACACAAGCTTTACTGATAAGGATAGGCAAAATATAACATCCAAAGGTAACAGCTCACCTTCTAGTTTTGCCTACATCTCCAGTTCCATGTAAGACACAAGAACTCCTGTATCTGGCACCACTCTCCTCTGTCCTTCAGGCTTCTATTTTTCTCTACCTTTTCTGGAGCAAAGACTGATAAGACTAAAAAAGCTCCATCTTACATGACTGGAAAGGCAATCACAAGGAAATGCACAAGCAGCCTTAGAGCACTTCTTAGAAACAGCTGCTGTGTGCTGGGCCTGTATTAATCTGGCAAAGACAACAAATAAGCTTCTTGCCTTCAAGACAACTCCAACAACCAAGTGTAGCAATTGATCTTTCATTGTTAAGTAAACAAAATAGAATATGCTGCTTAATTGCACCAAAAATAGATAGCCAGAATGAAGGCAAAGGGTTTGTTTTTACCACAAAGTTCTTTGCACCTGAAAGGGCAGAACAGAAAGGAAAACGAATACTGTTTTCAACAAAAAGCTTGACAGGTTCTTCTATTTCTTTAACAGAAGGCTACTGACACTTAAGGATGGTTGTTTTAGGATTATAACTGCTTGAGGTTTAAGCACTTAAAACTCCATGTCATTTAGTTGTCACACACTGAAAAAAACAACCCCAAAAACTTAAACATATCAGGCCCACTTTTTTCACCAAAATTAATGCAAAAGCAGAGTTAGAGGCTGGTTTAAAGAATAAACAAAATCATTACGTTAGCTGCTGCATTTACAAGCTCTAAGCAAGTCAACCTCAAGTAAGGACAGTGGCTGGCATTTGTTGCCATGAGTAAGTACAAAGAGCAGCAGCGGTACATTCAGTGGCACCTTCTCTGACTCACTAGCGCTATTTTTTTTTTTTGTCCAACTTCTTAAAGGTGTGCAAGAAATCTTTAAGGAAACTTACTGATTTCATGTAACTACACTTGAACTACTGTCAGGAAGTCTAGAGATTAAGCCTAGAACCGCATGGAATCCAACTATAGGAGATGCCCCAGAGCCCAGTGCTGTTCCCAGAGCGCAGGGCACAACAGCAGAAGGGTCGCTGATTTCAGGCACACTCTAAAGAAATCAGAACTGTCACTTTCTGTAGCCGCAGGAAAGCTGGAGAAGAGAGAAGCAGATGCCAAATCAACGAGTGGCAGTGTTAAAGGAAAAGCTTAGTTCATCAATAAAAGTCTGAAGGGGCACATTTTCAAGCATCGAAACTTAACTCTCTCCGAGATAAGAGGAGGTGAAAACACTATACCTCTGGCTTGCTGTCCACAACATCTACTTCAATATTGACTTCTGCCTGTAGGATTTTCTGCTTCGTTTGTTCAACGGACAGACTCAATTTGTTGATGTAAGACTGAAGTTCTTCTGCGGAGTCCATGTTCAGCTCCACCAAAGCTTTGTGGAATTGATCCATTTGACCATCTTCTAGAAGTTCCTACAGACAGATCATTTAGCTGGGATGAACACACAGGTCACCAACTGGCTGTCAACTGCACGTACAGACCCTTTCTGCTTCGTTTGTTCAACGGACAGACTCAATTTGTTGATGTAAGACTGAAGTTCTTCTGCGGAGTCCATGTTCAGCTCCACCAAAGCTTTGTGGAATTGATCCATTTGACCATCTTCTAGAAGTTCCTACAGACAGATCATTTAGCTGGGATGAACACACAGGTCACCAACTGGCTGTCAACTGCACGTACAGACCCTTTGCCTTCGTCACTAGACGTTATGACGCGCGCGCTTCGGCAGCATTCAGACTGTTTCACAAAAGCAGCGCCGTTCAGCACCTGGAAGAACCCTCTGCATCAATAATCTCTCCCTTTTATCTTGCAAGGAACCTTCAAAACCTCCTATCAGAAATCACACAAGCCAGACGTAGCTTTTTTACAGTAAGGCGTGACCTTCTGACAAAGCTCCGAGGGCAGCCCGCCCTCCTCCCCAAAGACCACACCGAAAGCTTTGCCCCGATTACCTGCACATACAGTAACCTGTCCAGCCTCTCTTGGTCAAGCTGCAGCTTCTCTTCTCGACGACGTGCGTTGAGTTCTTGGAGTCGACGCAACTGCTGCTGCCGCCTCTCCTGCTTTTCCTCCGACGTGAGAGTGCTTCCCAGCAGTTTGTTAGAGAAAGGCAGCTGCATCTTGTGCATGTTGAGCTCGTAGTACTCCGGGGACCGCCACTTCTGCAGCTCTGAACATTTTGAAAGCAAAATAACCGTTTTGCCAGGCTGAGAAGGATGACAATTCCTACGCTGTACACACCCCATGCGAAGTTCAGACTTAGAAAGAAGGCAACAACCACCCAGTCTAGGATTCCGTCACCTCTTGGCAGCTGCCCTCGTACGCAGCCACCCCCCCAGAGCACTGCCGTCTGCTCACAAACTCGGGGCACGTGGGTCTGACCTCCAGCACGCAGAAAACAAAGCACAAAGACGTGGGCAGTGCACGCTACTGTCTCTTCTCTCTCCCCATGGGAAGGGAGAGTGCTCACACATTTCTAAAGACTCCTGCAGGCTCTTTCCTAAGTGACAAATTTAAGGGAACACTTTTCTTTGGCCACTATTTAAGATGATATTTACCGTGGAAATTTTAAAACTTCTCATGACTTTTTGTGAATTAAAGGAGGGTCCTCTGCAATTTTGGAAACCTCAAAGCAGGTAAGAAACACAGCCCAGATGCAGGAATCATCCTAACCAATTTAAAGTTTTGTTGGAAGTATAAAGTGACTAATAAAATAAACTAATTTTAAATTATTTGCCTCTGAAACAATCGTGATTTCTACTCGCAGAGAAACTTGAACTAATATGGATTTTTTTTTTTTTGTAATTTAATTTTGTTTCTATCTTCATGTTAAACTCAAAACTGTTGTCCCAGGAGCTAGATTACCAGAAAGACAGCTATAAAGAAAGCAAAATAGTAGAGTATTTCTGCCAGAATCCCAGGCAACTTGAGAACAAGGGATACAGAGGGCAAAACCAAGTTTGGATGAATGGTGCCTAGTGGTAAATTATGCTGGTTTTACCTTCTGTATAGTCTTCTGCAATGTAGCTATGCTCATGCAGTATTTCCTCCATGCGACTGAGAGTGATGGCAGCAAAATGTCCTGGGTATTTCAGCTGAAGGAGGCGTTGGAGATACACAGCTGCTTGACAGCCTCCAAGATTAATACGTTTGCAGTTTTTAGCATCCAACCTGAAAATACAGAGAGACACGACTGAGACTGGAGACATCCACAAGTTCAGCATAAAACAGACCTCCTACTTTCCCCAGTATTATTCCATTTCTGGTATAGTCAAGAAGACAGATGAATATTCACAGATAAATATTTCAAGATTCAATTACCAGAGAACTTAACACACCTGCTTTTCTCAGACAAGAAGCAGAATCACTGCCTTGCTCATTGCAGATACTTTCTCAAAGGCTCTGCCCTGCTTTACAATAGCCAAACACTCTCAGACAAGAAGCAGAATCACTGCCTTGCTTATTGCAGATACTTTCTCAAAGGCTCTGTCCTGCTTTACAATAGCCAAACATTAAATAATTCTGGCTACAGCAAGGAAAACTTCTGTTTTAAGAAGGGAAGTGATAGTTAGTGGAGCTAAAAGTAGTTCCTTTAACTTTTGTAACATTTACAGTTGGCAAGATGTAATCCTCAAAAATCTGAAGCATCTATCAGATACAATAAAGACATTTCCTGCAGTAAGGATTAAAAAAAAAAAAAAAAAAAAAAAGAGCAGAGCAATGTAGCAGCATAATCAGAATGATAAAAGCCTCAAGAACCGCAGAAATCTCACAGAGCATTTTCTTAGATCCAAAGTTGCTTTAAAACCCAACATATGTTTTTTAATGCTTGATCTTACTTGGGGCACGTATCCCCTTCTACCTTTGAAAGTACGGATCTATGCAGGAATAGTAACTAAAAACACAATACAAACAAGGACAGCACTGCTTCTTCAATTCCAAATTCAAGAGAAATCTGCAGACCTAGTTTTAACTCATCAGTGTAAATGAAGACCTGATAAGAGCTTATACTGCAGGAGCTGGAATGGTGAGTGCCAGAGGAACGGGCACTTGCTTCGCTGAAGAGTCACTGACTGACAAAGAGAGGCTGCACCGTACTGAACCCACCCAGAACTCACCTGCCGTCTAAGACCGGCAAGACATGCGTACACTGGTAACCTGAAGATATCACCAAACCGCTGCAGGGCCAGCTCTGCCTTCTGTTGTGGTAAAAGCTGTACAAGCTGTCCACACCATAGGACACTTTTGGCACTTGATAACACTCAAAGAGGAGCTCTGACATCATTTGTCTGGAATACAGAGGATTGCACACCGCTTCTGTCAAGACAATTGGATGATCAACACAACCCTGTAAGAAACAAGAGAACAGATAAATACCAGAGGTGTGAAGGGAAAATCCAAGGATACTTATTTTTGCTGCTTCTTTTGAACAAGCAAGAACTCTCCCAAAGCAGCAATGAGAAATCACTTTATGTGCAGGCTATTCATCATGTAAGTTAAATTATATCTAGTACTTAAGGGGGTAAAAAAGAAGTTTTGTCTGCAGCAAAGCTTCCAACATTAATTCAACCAAAGAATACACTCCTAAGGGAGGAGGAGAATGGATGTTTTAAATGCATATACAAGTTATTAAAAATCTAAGTAACGAAAATCTATGCAATTAGGAGGTGAAGCACAAGTGAAAATTGATGGAAGCTTAGTTCAGCACTAGGTAAGGTTTTCAAACTGGTGTTCTCATGCAGGCAAAAGGCTCCATGGTTTGAGGAGCAACTCTCAGTTCCATCGGGTACACAAAACAAGTAGCCAACGAGCACTAACACTAAGAGCACTACACAAAACTAATAATGTTTAATGCCCTTCTCAAAAACTGACCCTGGATGCTGGTTCTCGGCCACAGCCTGACAAGATGCTGCAGTCCAAACCTCTCACCCTGCAGCTGTCTCCTCACGCTTTCATTTTACCACAACACTATTAAGAAATTAAGAGAACAGCGGGGTTCAAGAGCACCCCTGGGGAGCACCTGGCCCGGCTAGGGTAGCCACTGCAGGTTGCTCAGGGCCCGCGCACACCCAGGCCTTGAGTATCTGCGAAGAGAGGGACAACACAACGCCCCAGGACGACCAGGGCGATACTGGTCCCCCCATTCCCATCACGCACCCAGGCGCAACCTCCTCCTTCACACCAGCCCCCCACAGGGCCGGGCCTGGTTGCATCGGCGGCTTCAGGCCCTCGGCCCGGCCCGGCGGCCGCCCCTCCGCGCCCGGCGGTACCTGCGAGGCGACGCCGAG